TTCCCACCATTGTCCCCACCACTGTCCCCACCACTACCGTCCCCACCACTGTCCCACTGTCCCACTGTCCCCACCACTGTCCCGCTGTCACCTCACCACTGTCCCCACCAACACCGTCCCCACCACTGTCCGCACCCCCACTCGGTTTTCCAGGGGGGGGGGTTCGAACCGGTAGTGACCCACCCACCCCGGTTTTCGAGGGGGATGGGGAGGGGGGGGGGTTCGAACTGGTAGTGACCCCCCCCCTTTTCATGATGAACTGGGGGGGGGGGAGGGGTTCGAACCGGTAGTGATCCCCCCCCGGTTTTCCAGAGGGGGGGGGGAGGGGTTCGAACCGGTAGTGACCCCCCCCCGGTTTTCCGCCAGCAGCGGTAGAACACGCTCTTTCATATATATATATATATATATACATACATACACACATCTGCATACATATGCACGTACATTATTACATGCATGCATTCGAACATGCATACATGCATACAGGCATACATGCATGCATGCATACATACCTGCATACATGCATACATACATACATGCAAACAAACATACACACTGTTATGCATATATGCATACATACATGCATGCGTATATGCATGCATACATGCATAACACTAGATGCATTACAAATCTACATGAGATGCATACATACACTTATACATACCTACATCCATACATGCCTACACACATACATATACACATACATTCATACATTCGTACACACATGCGCACGTGTATGCATGCATACATACATATCTACACTAATGCATGCATGCATACATACATACGTGAATACGTGCGTGTACACATATATACATATAAGTGTACATTCACACATGCACACGTACATATATACATACATGGATACAGACATACATACATACATACATACATGCATGCATGCATACATACATACATACATACATACATATATACATACATACATACATATATACATACATACATACATACGTACATACATACATACATACATACATGCATACATACATACATACATACATACATACATACATACATACATACACATATACACATACATATACATATACATATACATATACATATACATATACATATACATATACATATACATATACATATACATATACATGTTCATATACATATACATATACATATACATACACACATGCATGCATGCATGCATGCGTGCATGCTTGCATGCGCATGCATGCATGAATACCGACATACATAAATTCAAGCCTTCATATATGCATGCATATATACATGTATGCATGCATGCATACATACTTGCAAACATACATATTTACATATGTGATATATCCTGGGGAAGGACCCAACCGGGTGCAGTTTTGGGTACCGCCGTTATAAGCATCGCTTTCGGTTGATCTCTTTGCGGGGCCACGGAGCGTGTGAGAGGTGTGCCGAAATGGGGCGGGACCGCCATGCGGGCGCTGCCGCTGGGGCCTTCGGTGGAGCTCCATGCGAGGCAACGAAACGCGAGAGGGGTGTGCCGACATGGGGCGGGGCCGCCATGCGAACCCTGCCACTGGGCGATCGGTGGAGCTCCGTATGGGGCCCTGCAAATGGAAACTTGTATTTGGAGGGCTGAGGCAGGGATGGGAGGAGGAAGGGAGCAGGGGGGGGGAGGAGAGGAGAGGAGAGGACTGCGGGAAGATATCTCTTAAATCCTTAACAGAAACCCCTTTGGAAGGACTACTTCATAAGGGATCAGTAGGGAGAAAAGTCCGTCGAACCGGAGTCTGACAGGCCAGATTTTCAGACAAGCTCATTCCTAAGGAAGCCTTGTTGGAGAATCCTTAGTACGGAATCCTTAGCAAGGAACCCAGAATAAGGAACCCCATGAATTCGTACAAATAAATCCGTCCCAAGGCATCCTAAGTAAGAAACCCACATTAATGAATCTTTGCTAAGGAATCCTTAGCGAAAAATCCATACTGTGTGATCATGACTAAGGGATCCTTACTGGGGAGTCATTAATGCAGAACCGTCTTAAGGGATCAATATTCATGCATCCGTAGTAGAGAACCCTTCCTGAATTAACACAAAGGGTCCATATTCATGCACCCGTAATAAAGAGTCCGTCCTGAATCTCCCTGTAGAATCCGTAACGAAGATCCCGTTTGCAAATGGACCCCGTAAGGAGAAGTATGTACCGAAAAGTCCTTCAGGAGAAAGCCCCTAGATTACCCGTGCTAAGAGATCCTTTCTAAGGAATCCTTACCGCCTGAGCGCGGCCTGGCTGAATGACAAAGACTGCCATGGGCGCCGCACGAGCGGGCTCGGACCATCAACAATTGTAAAAAGCAGGCAGTTCAGGGCCGAAGGCCAGCAAACCCTGTAAATAACAGGTTGCTCAAGTGTTTCATGTGGTCGTGGATCTAATATACTTGAGCGCGCTTATGTCCACGAAAAATGACACCCTCAAAAAACACAGAAACAAACAAAAAAGTGTTTTCAATGTGAGCTGGCCCTCTGACCTGAAATAGCATGTATGTTACAGTAGGTGCGGGCCCTTTGGCTTGACAAGAGGCGCCACGAGCAAGAGAGATCGGGATCCTTCCTAAAGGATCCTTGATGGAGAGTCCGAAATACACAGAATTCTTAATGAGGACTCCTCAATGAGGAATCCTTCCTGTATCGCCCTCGGCAAAAAGGCCCTCACTGTAGAAACCGTCACGGGTAGTCCTTTTACAAAAACGATTCCTCAATAAGGAATTACTACCGTAGAGTCCGTCAGAAAAGATCATTACCGAAGAAAGCCCCTCGAGAACTCGTGCTAAGAAATACGTTCTAAAGAACCCTTACTACCTGAGCGCGGCCCGGCTAAATGACAAAGCCTCCATAGGGTGCCGCACGAGCGGGCTCGGACCATCAACCGTTGTAACAAACAGGCCTTTCAGGTCCGAGGGCCAGCAAACACTGTCAGTAGCAGGTTGTTCAGGTTGTTCACATTGTGGTGAATGTATATACCTGGGCGCGCATAGATCCATAAAGCTCTGAAAGCCATGTTTGTTACAGTGTGTGCTGGCCCTCTGACATGCCAAACTCGACATTTACAATGTTTGCTGACCCTTTGACTCGACAAGAGGCGCCACGAGCAAGAGAGATCAGGGATGCAAGACTCTCTCTCTCTCTCTCTCTTTCTCTCTTTCCCATCCCTCCACCAAAAAAAAACAAAACACCCAGGCCTTTGTACAGCCTGCAGCCCCATCCTCCTCCTGCTCGTCTTGGCCCTCTTTCTCCTCGCCCTCCTCGTCCTCCTGGGCGCAGGGCGCTGGGTGCTGATGGCATCTGAATCCCCTGGGGATGCTGCCACCCATCTCCTCCTCGTCGTCCTCCTTTTAGCATCCAGTCGTTTCGCATTTCCTGTCGTCCCCATCCCCAAGCACCCTTTTGGAGCCCTTGCACGACAACCAGATCCTGTAGCCGGCGAGCCAAACCAGGCTAAGCGTGAGGCCGAAAAGGACGCAGCTAGCGTTCGTGAGCAGGTACGGGGAGCACCAGGAATACCTTTTGGGGGGGGACGCAGATGGGAGCGGACAGCGATAATCTACACAACTCGCCTCGCCGACCGTGCAGGCACCTATCACGTTCATCGCATGGCTGTCCTGCGAACGTGGCCAAAACTCTGGCGCGCATGCCCTAACTTCCGATGAATTGGCCCTCCGAAAGATGTGCAAACCCTCAGAAGTCGCCACTTCACGCTGCACAAGCTTGGTAGCAGCGACATAGTCACCGGCGGCAGCAGCGCCAGCGGCGGCGGCAGATCGAAGCAGCACGAACAAGACCACCGCGAAGGCACCTCTCCCTCACTTCGGGCATCGAGGCGATCAGAATACCCATGTAGGCGTTGGCCACCGCAAGCTCGACCAGCAAGATGACGAGCGGGACCATCAAGGGGACCATGGCCGCGGGCAGATTGCTCACCTTGCTAAGAGATGCCCGCAGAGATCGAAGAGACAGCCGAGCAGAGGGAGTGCGGAGGCAGACGCTAAAGGAGAGACGGGCGGACAAAGGGGGAACGATGGGCCTGCTTTCCACCACCACCACCATATGTTGGAGGGGGGAAGGAGGTGGAGGATGAGGAGGAGGAAGAAGAACAGGAGGAGGAGGAGGAGGAGGAGGAGGAGGAGGAGGTGGCATTGGAAAACAAGCCCACCAGGGAGGAGAGGACGGACGGAGCGGGCGCCCAGGCGAACACGGCGGAGAGGCGGGAGGGCCCGCGGGAGAGAGGCTGGCCCCGCCCCCCCCCCTCGCGCACGCACTGGTCAACTCCGTTACGGCTCGGGGTGCCACGATGCGAGGACGACGTGTCCTCCTCCTCCTCCTCCTCCTCCTCCTCCTCTCCTCCGCCTCCTCCTCCTCTCCTCCCCCCCTCTCAGTCCTCGCCTCTTCCTCCTCATCATCCCCTCCTCCGCCTCCTCATACTCCTACTTCCCCTCCTCCTCAGCCTCATCCTCATCCTCCTTCCTCCTCCTCCGCCTCCTCCTCCTCCGGCCCATCCTCTCCTCCTCCGTCCTCCTCCCGCATCCTCCTCCTCCTCCGCCCTCCGCCCTCCTCCTCCTTCCTCCTCCGCCTTCCGCCTCCCTCCTCCCCGGCCTCCTCTCTACTCCGCCTCTCCGCCTCCTCCGATTCCTCCTTCTCCTCCGCCCCTCACTCAGCCTCCCTCCCGCCTCCTCCTCCGCCTCCTCCTCCTCCGCCTCCTCCTCCGCCGCCGCCTCCGCCTCCGCCTCCTCCTCATGGCCGGCGCAGCGGATCTGCGCGCAGATGCCTCGATGCTGGCTCGACTCGCCCAGCCCGCCACGACCTCCGAGGGATGGGGGGAGCACGCAGGGAGTGCCTCCCGCTGGATGTCGAAGCTCTGCAGCAGGTCAACCATGCTCTCGAGGACCTGGGTGAATCCCTCCATGGCTTCATCGAAGTGGACGTGCACGTGCTCGGCTCGCGAGCGAACGGTGTCGTCCAGCCTGGGAGGGAGCGTGCACGCAGCAGCATGATGGCAGAGAAAACGGACACGGCAAGTCCCCTCCTGCGACGGCCACGTGAGGTTACTCTGTTTCTCTTTCTCTCTCTCTCTCTCTCTCTGTCGTTCTGAAATTCGATACATATATACATATATACACATACATACATACATACATACATACATACATACATACATACATACATACATACATACATACATACATACATACATACATACATACAGACATGCATGCATGCATGCATGCATGCATGAATGCATGCATGCATGCATGCATGCATACATACATACATACATACATACATACATACATGCATACATGCATACATACATACATACATACATACACAGACGTACACACAGGTAGCAAAACATATCTTATCCGCCGACCCCAGCTTGCCAGTACCCTTCCCCCTCTTTCCCCCACCCAGGAGTCCAAGAGCCTCTTTGAGGGGCTGGCAGGAGGGCTGAGCTCACCAAAGCACCCTTTCGGCTCTACCTGGCTCGAACCTGGCCCCAAATGCCCTAGGATGGATTCCAAGATGGCGCAGCATGGTCCTAGTTGGCTCAAGATGCCATCCAGCATGCCTCGAAGAATACCACAGGCTGCCCCAAGGCGGCGCCAAAGGCCTCCCAGCGTCTGCAGTCCATATAAACATGTACGTTTATGTGTGTATCTACGTACTTAGACATGAAGCCGATGCGTACCTATAAACAGAACGCAAGATATAAAGATGGATACACATACATACACATACATATGCATACACATGAACATATGCATAGAAGATGCATAGATTTGTGTTGGCGGGGGCGGCCTCGCGCGCACCGGCGAGGACGAGGCAGGGCAAGTCGGATACGCACACAAGAACAACACGGGGTGAAAATAATAATAAAAACAACAACAACAACAACAACAGCAGCAACAATAACAACAGCAGCAACAATAACAACAATAACAACAACAACGAAAACAACAACAACAACAACAACAACAACAACAACAACAACAACAACAACACAACAACAACAACGACAACAACAACAACAACAACAACAACAACAACAACAACAACAACAACAACAACAACGGCAGCACCAACAACAACAACAACAACAGCAAATACAACAACAACGACAACAACAACAACAACAACAACAACAAAACCAACAATTGCAACAGCACCAGTAACAACAATAGCAACAGCCACAGCAGCAGCAACAACAACAATCACAACAACAACGGCAACAACAGCAACAACAACAGCAACAGCAACAACAATAATCATGTTAAGACTATTCGTTACTATTGCTCGACTGCCACTCAACACGTATATCCCAAGCCCGCGATACCCGCCCTCTTCGTCTTCGACCGTACCCCCTTCGGGGTATATCTCTCTGAGGACGGATGGAAGGAAATGTCAAGGGGGAGGAAGGAGGATGGAGCACGAGACGGAGTAGAAGGAGGAGGGCTAAGAGCAGAAAACACGTGGTAGAACCAGACGGGCAGATCGCGGACCAGAACTACAAGAGACTGTGCACGGCGGATATCTATATCGTGCGAAGTCTGCGTGGCCGACTCGCAGAACAGAGATACAAAAGGCCACGAGGCATTGAACTGGGAATGAGAAGTCAAAGGAAGACATCGGGGTGGAAGAACAGTCGCCTCGGCAGAAGCAGCGGGATGATGGGACCTGCCCGCAGCCCTGCCTCCACGACGCCCAGCAGCCCTCGAAAGTGGGGATAGTTTCACAATTCGCAGCCCTCCGGGGATGGCGAAGTCCTGTTTGGATCTGCGTGGGGCCCCACTGTGCTGCCCTGCCCAGCAGCCCTCGAAAGTAGCGACAGTTTCACACTTCGCAGCCCCAAAAGGATGGCGAGATCCCGGTTGGATCTGCATCGCACCCCACTCTGTTGGCCCCCCCAGCAGCCCTCGAAAGCGGCGACAGTTTCACAATTCGCAGCCCCGCCCCGGGGATGGCGAGGTCCCGTCTGGATCTGCGTGGGGCCTCACTGTGCTGCCCCCCCCCCGCTGCACTCAAAAATGGCGCCAGTTTCACACTTCGCAGCTCCAAAAGGATGGCGAGGTCCCGTTTGGGTCCGCGTGGGGCCCCACTGTGCGGGCTCCCCCGGCAGCCCTCGAAAGCGGCGACAGTTTCACACATCGCAGCCACCCAGATATGGCGAGATCCCGTTTGGGTCCGCGTGGGGCTCCACTGTGCGGGCTCCCCCAGGAGCCCCCGAAAGTGGCGACAGTTTCACACTGTGGGGCCACAGGCTCCCCCAGCAGCCCTCGAAAGTGGCGACGGTTTTACACTTCGCAAACCCCCAGCGATAGCGAGGTCCCGTTTGGATCTGCGTGGGGTCCCCCGGCAGCCCCCGAAAATGGCGACAATTTCACATGCAGCCCCCCAGGGCTGGCGGGATCCCGTTTGGGTCCGCCTGGGGCCCCACTGTGCGGTCCGTCAGCAGGCAGGTGTAGGCAGGCGAGAGAGGGACACAGGGCGGAAGGAGGAAGGGAAGGGAGTTGGCACCCCACTGCTCTATTCAAAACGAGAACCCGACCAAGGGATGGTTGGGAAAAAATACAAATGTGATCGGAGGGGTGATCAACAATGACTGTTCTGCAGAAACGAAACTTCAACAACGACAGCAGCAACAACAACAGCAGCAACAAACTGTTTAAGACTGTTCGCTCTTATCTGTTCGAGTGTCACTCAACGTGCACATCCTAAACCCTTAATGCCCGCCCTCTTCGTCTTCGATCGTACCCCTTTTGGGCGGTATATCTTTCTTCCCTGCAGGACGGGCCCCGGCAAGCGACGGGGCTGCCGCGGACCGTCGGCCTGGCCAGCGGAAACGCCGATCGGCGGCAACCAGACCCCAAGAGAGACGAACAGAGGGCCGACCACGACGACAACGACGACGACGACGACGACGACGAGCGAAAGCGAGAGCGAAAGCGAGAGCGAGAGCGACAGCGGGGGCACAACGGGCAGGAACTGGGCCACGAAGGACGACAGCGGGGCCACGAAGGGCATGCGTATGGGGCCACGAAGGGCGCGAACGAGCGGGGGCCACGAAGGGCAGATAATGCGGGGCCACCAGAGGGCAACGACGGGGCCACTGAGGGTAGCAACGGGGCCACGTAGGACAGCAACGGAGCCACGAAGGGCATGCCTATGAGTCCACGACGGGCGCGAACGAGCGGGGGCCACGAAGAGCATACGTATATTGGGCCGCAGAGGGCAAGGACGGGGCCACTGAGGGCAGCAACGAGGCCACGAAGGGCATCGAGGGGGCCACGAGGCCACGAAGCGCATGCATGTGGCCACGATGGGCGCGAACGAGCGGGGGCCACGAAGCGCATGCATATATGGGGCCACGAAGGGCAGCGAGGCGGCCACGAAGGGCTGCAACGGGGCCACGGCAGCGAGGGGGCCACGAAGGGGTGCAACGGGTCCACGAAGGGCAGCGAGGGGGCCACGAAGGGCTGGAACGGGTCCACGAAGGGCTGGAACGGGTCCATGAAGGGCAGAGAGGGGGTAACGAAGGGCTGCAACGGGTCCACGAAGGGCAACGACGGGGCCACGAAGGGCTGCAACGGGGCCACGAAGGGCAGCGAGAGGGCCACGAAGGGCCACGACGGGCAGCGAGATCCCGATTCCTAAAGAAGCTTTGAGGGAGTCCTAAGCGTGAGCACGACTCATGGGTGCCTGAGTGTCGGGAGCGCGGCGCTTGAGTTAATAGCGGGGAATTCCAACGCAAGACCGCGATTCTCGAATAAATTGCAAGCAAGTCTCCAGCGAGAGCACGATTCCAGAGCGCCGAGAGAGCGAGTCCTGAATAAATTGTCAGGAAGTCCCAAGCGAGACCGCGATTCCTGAGAAAAATGCCAAGAAATCTCCGGCGGGAGCGGGGGGACTGGCAAAATTGTGAGGAAGTCTCAGGCGGGAGCCATTATTGTTGTTATCACCCGGGGGCCAGGGTCGTAATTTGAGCGCAATAATTTTCCCTGGTGAAAAACAAGGCGCGAGCCCCGGGGGAAGCACTTCAATTGAAAATCACAATGGTCACAGGAGGGGGGGAATCCATAATAAAAAAAATCATCCGTAACGACAGGTAAACAACAACCGCAACAGCAAGAACCATAACAACAACAACAACAACAACAACAACAACCACAACAACAACGACAACAACAACAACAACAACAACAACAACAACAACAACAACAACAACAGCAACAACAACAACAACAACCACAACCACAACCACAACCACAATCACAACCACAACCACAACCACAACAATAATAATAGCAACAACAAAACAGCAACAACTACAGGAAAACGACAACCGCAACAACAACAACAAAAACAAAACAACAACAACAACGACAACAGCAGCAACAACAACAACCAGCAACAACAGCAACAGCAATAGCAACAACAAATGTGACTACAGCAACAACAATAAGAACAACAACCACAACAGCAACCATCTAAAAGCAAAAAATGCAGAAGTTGCAACAACGGCAACGACAGACAGCAACAACAAGCCAGCAACAACAACAGAAATAACAACAACAACAACAACAACAACAACAACAACAACAACAACAACAACAACAACAACAACCACAATCACTTTACCCGAACGCTCAGTGTTCTCACCAGGGCCAGGGTTTTCATGCGACGCCAGCCAATACCCCCACTTTGTGGGGGGGCAGTGCAAGCTCTACCAAATATCCACACGACTCTTCGCCACCACCCACACCCAGCTTCCCGCCCTATGACGTTCGGACACTTCACTTCGTGGCCTGCGGACGACCGTGGCTACTACACTGGCGTGGAGTACACACCTACAGAAGTTGTTAGGACAGCGCGCGCGGGTAGAAATTTTGAAAAGTCGTGCAGGTGTTTTTCGAGGACTTACGGTGCGATTCGTGTGATTTTATGATGCGCGGTGCTAAAATTCTTA